GCAGGGGTTGGACTAGATGTCCCTTGTGGTCCCTTCCAGCTCTACAGTTCTATGATTCTATTCTTCTGCCATCTCTTGCTACTTGCGGTCAACGGACTCCAGCCCTCCTTCATAAAACACCTCTCTTCTTCTGTCATTCTGGCAGAACTGGGGCTGAGAATGCGCCTCTATTGTGTTTCTGGCTGAATTATTTGTAGTTCTGAGGATTAACTGAGGACAACTTCCTTCCACCAGCACTACTTAATTTGTAAAGGTGCTTGGCTGATGAATATCTAATGCTGGTCTAGTTAGACTTGCAGAGTTCCCGATGAGCTCTGCTAAAAGAGAGGCATTCGAATCCATTATGACGCTGCCCTGATTGGGGACATCTTTCCATATGCTGATTTAATCAGAGCTCCTTGGAGCAGGGACATCTTGAATTGGAAATGAGAGGAAGCCGCAAATGTTCAGCAGGGCGTAAGAGAAGACAGAGGGGCCAGAATAGTGTAGCCCTGAAGCTGTCAGAAAAGGTTCACGGGGATTGGGGCTCAGATGCAACCGTGATGCTCAAACCATGGCTAAGGGGCTGGATACAGCCCTCTAGGTCCCTCTGTGTGGCTCCTAAGGTAAAGGGACCCCTGACCATTAGGTCCAGTCCTGGCCGACTCTGGGGTTGCAGCGCTCATCTCGCTTTATTAGCCGAGGGAGCCGGCGTACAGCTTCCGGGTCATGTGGCCAGCATGACTAAGCCGCTTCTGGCGAACCAGAGCAGCTCACGGAAACGCCGTTTTCCTTCCCGCTGGAGCGGTACCTATTTATCTACTTGCTTTGTGACGTGCTTTCAAACTGCTAGGTTGGCAGGAGCAGGGACCGAGCAACGGGAGCTCACCCCGTTGCAGGGATTCGAACTGCTGACCTTCTGATCGGCAAGCCCTAGGCTCTGTGGTTTAACCCACAGCGCCACCCTGTGTGGCTCCTGGGAGTCTGCAATTCAAAGTGTTGGTGCTGACCTTTAAAGCCCTAAATGGCCTCGGTCCAGTATACCTGAAGGAGCGTCTCCACCTCCATCGTTCTGCCCGGACACTGAGGTCCAATGCTGAGGGCCTTCTGGCAGTTCCCTCGCTGCAAGAAGCCAAGTTACAGGGAACCAAGCAGAGGGCCTTCTCGGTAGTGGCACCCGCCCTGGGGAACACCCTCCCACCAGATGTCAAAGAGAAAAATAACTACCAAACTTTTAGAAGACATCTGAAGGCAGCCCTGTTTAGGGAAGCTTTTAACGTTTAATAGGTTATTGTATTTTAGTGTTTTGTTGGAAGCTGCCCAGAGTGGCTGGGAAAACCCAGCCAGATGGGTGGGGTATAAATAATAAATTATTATTATTATATATATTATTATTAAGCCCTCATTGGACCTGCACCTGTAACAAGAGTAGAATGCAACACGAGGTATGACTGTATTGGGGACACTGTTACTGATGCAATAATGTAGCGAGCCTCTCAACTCGTCTCTGTGATAACTGACAAAATGAATCCTCTCTTTTTTTGGCAATAGGAGCTGTCTTCAGACAGCCCACCTCCTTGCCAATATTCTTGATAGCAAGACTCTGGATCAGAACAACACAAACGGAAGCCTGGCAAGGAAACACTCAACGAGCGCGGCAGTTCCCTGAAGTCCTCGTTTCAGGAACTGCCAATGGATTCCAGGAGCTGCTTACTCTAATTTCTGCAGGTGCGATGGCTTCAGAACAGCCTTGCGCTTCCAGCAAAGTGGCAGAACTCAGTTTCTGAACAGAAACGTCTTGGCTTCTGCTTCCTGGAAACTTGTTATCAAGTGAAGGTGTGAATGTAAGAAGATCCTTGGCGGATCAGGTCCAAGGCCCATCTGGTCCAGCACCCTGTTCTCACAGGGGCCACCAAATTCCTGGGCGAAACCTGCAAGCAGGAAAGGGGTACAACAACAATCTTCCCTCCTGTGGTTTCCAACAACTAGCATACAGAAGCATTGCTGCGTCCAACATGGAGGCAGAACATAGCCGCCATGGCTAGTAGCCACTCAGGGCTGCATTTAGGTTTGATGCAGCCCTAAGCTACTGAAGGTAATGGGGCCCTTTATATTTCCAGCTGTCCTTTGTCAACAACAAATTGTCGCTGTTTTTTGTCTTGAATATATGTTGTTGTTGTTTAGTTGTCCGACTCTTTGTGACCCCATGGACCAGAGCACGCCAGGTACTCCTGTCTTCCACTGCCTCCCGCACTTTGGTCAAACTCATGCTGGTAGCTTCAAGAACACTGTCCAACCATCTCGTCCTCTGTCGTCCCCTTCTCCTTGTGCCCTCCATCTTTCCCAACATCAGGGTCTTTTCCAGGGAGTCTTCTCTTCTCATGAGGTGGCCCAAGTCTTGGAGCCTCAGCTTCAGGATCTGTGCTTCCAGTGAGCACTCAGGGTTGATTTCCTTCAGAATAGATAGGTTTGATCCTCTTGCAGTCCATGGGACTCTCAAGAGTCTCCTCCAGCACCAGAATTCAAAAGCATCCATTCTTTGGCGATCAGCCTTCTTTATGGTCCAGCTCTCACTTCCATACAACACTACTGGGAAAACCATAGCTTTTACTATACGGACCTTTGCTGGCAAGGTGATGTCTCTGCTTTTTAAGATATGCTATATGGTAATTTATGGACCTAATAGGTATCTAAAGCCATTTGCACATAGCAGAATGTAGGCACCCTATATATAGAAACCAGTGATATTTTAGGGAGCAGGCTAGCAGGCAGGGCCCATGGCTTACATCATAGGAGGCTACACAACACACAAACACTGTTGCTGTATGTAGGTTTTATTTTATTTGTCTTTTATCTTATATTTTGGAATATAATTTTTTTGGGGGCCCCCAAGGGAGTGGGGCCCTAAACTATAGCTTGTTTAGTTTATACGTAAATCCAGCACTGTAGCCACTGGTATGTTGGTGTGTGAGCATCTAATCTTGGGTTTCCTTTTCTTTCTGTAGCAGAGTTCCTTTTACAGAAAAGCTTTCCTGAATCTTTTACTTCTTTACAGCACCAGCAGCATCCCAGCTATCTCTTAGTGAAATTCCCACTACAGGAATACACACCATTTGGTTCTGCTTCTTAGAGTCTTTATTACCATATTTTCCCATCTATAAGACGCCCCCGTGTATAAGGCGCCCCCTATTTGGGGACTCTGATTTAAGGAAATGGCGGGAGATGGCTTCCGTGTATAAGATGCCCCCAAATTTTGTACATTATTTCTTAGGGGGAAAACCTAGTCTTATACACAGAAAAATATGGTATTCACAAAACTTTACACTGGTCCTAAATAAATAAATAAATAAATAACCCAACATATTTTTTTTCCTCTTTTAGCCATCCAGGCCAGAGAGACCTTATGTGACTCATTCACATGCTCATTTACACTGACCCAGACTTAGTCGACCACATGCGCTAATAAGGACACCTGTTGCTGGGGAAATTTTCCGTCGCCTAGCAACTTGTTCAAGACCGTTTCCAAGTTTCTTCTTGAATATTCCAACATGGCAGCCCTCTCCTCCATGGATTGGTCTAATTCTCTTTCGAAGCCATCTAAGTTGATAGGACAATGCATTTCTGAGCGCCACTGCTCCATAGCTCAGACTCCATTTTAAACTGGACTAAAGTATGCCTTTGTAACCGGATTGCCATTTTAAGCCTGCCTGAACAAAGTTGCTGCATTTGTTACTCTTCAATGAGTATTCAAAGTGAATAAATATTATTGTTACTTTTTGCAAGGTTGCCTGTGTGATTATTGTTTTCGGGGGGGGGGGTATCGGGAGAATCTGGTGAGCCTTAAAGCAACCTGGATTACTTAAACGAAAAGACTAAAACTAGCCTACCAAAGCTTCCCTTTTTCAGCTGCAAAGGGATGCACTGCTGAACTCACAAGGAAGGATAATATCTACTAAATGTACCCTCTCCTAGCATCTATAAACGTCCTTACAGTTGTGAGGATAAAACAGGGAGGGAGGAGAACCATGAATGCCACACTGAGGCTCCTAGGAGGAGATGGAGGATATAAATATTAACAATCTATCTATCTATCTAACCTCAGGAAACGCAAAAAAAATATCATTTTTTGAGCTGCAAAGTAAATTCAGACTTACGAATACTGGCTTGTATCATTTCGTCCGACATCTGGAGAGTGAAGTTTCTGAACCAGGATCCGGATGATGCAAATAAAGAGGACGAAATTTATCTGAGGGGGAGAGAAATCGAGAAACAAAATTAGAAAAAGGGGACAGGTAAGTTCCTTTTCTGTCAAACGGAGTCAACAGACATGACTAAACTGCCACGGGGTGATAAGGGGTTAGCTCTTGTCCTCTTTGTTACCTTGCCATGTGGCGCGCTAAGATTTTGCCACACATTTGGTGCAGGTGTGTGAGGTAATGTGCGGTAAAACAGTCGTGTGTACGAGCTCGTCGAATGGCCCTGCTTCAGAAGGATTATTTTGCCCGCCACAACTTCATTTTGGGGGTGTACGCCGCATAATCGAGAGACAACAAAGACCAGCCACCGCTCAGAGAGGGACAAGGTAAAGCAAGACAGGACGGCAGCCATCTTGGGCCTGACATCAGCCTGCTTGGGACTTTTGTGTTATGACATCCCAAGTATGATGATGTCAAGCCCACAGAGCACAGCTATGCACACGTCGATGCCATGACAGGTCAAGAGCCTTTTCGGTTAGTCAGGAAGTCAGAGGAGATGGAGAAGTACCTAAGGTTAGTGTCCAGGACCCAGAAACCTGCTTGACCACGTGTTGCTTAATGGACCCTCAACAGGGTCTAGCAGAACGTGTCTTAAAATCTGAGCCTAGAACATGTACCTATGTGGCCTAGAACCTCACCCTCCCCTGGCTGAGACAACTGCCTGGAGCAGAACGTCAGCATGAACTGGACTTGTGAAGGATGTGAATCAGAACTGATACATCTGGGTTCTGTTCCTGCTAAGCAAAGCATATTCTTAGCAAAACTCCTTTCTAGAATCCAGTAACAAAACACCGGGGGCGATTTCTGCCTCCTCAGACGCAACAGCTATGCATGAGAAGGCCAGCGAAGGAATGACGGGGGAAAATATATATATATATATCCATGGATACATTACCAATATGGAAACCAAAATGGGAGCCTTGATGATCCACCAAAAGGGAGATTCGATTAAGTCCCAACAACTGTAAAGGAATACAAATAGATCAAGAGCTTCTTCTTGGGTACGGAGGAAACGGTTGAGGAAGTAAATGATACCCTTCAGTTCCAGACAATGTAGAAGGAGGATGTCTGTATCTTAAAGAGGCACACACAGTTCATGGGACCACAGCTCAGGGGTGGAATCACATGCTGGTATCTCTGCAAAAGCATCTTAGGCCTTCAGCTGAGACCACAGGAAGCTGCTGTCAACTGGAACGGACTATCGTGGGTTAGATGGACCTAGTGGTTTGACTCTGCATGATATATGCTCATGTGCAGCAGTGATGAGGCCTGTGGGGCCCCACAGGAACTGAAAAGGGGCCCCAGACCACAACTAACACTTCCCAATTGCTGCACAATGCAGGGAAAGAGGAATACCAGAAGTTGCCATGAGCCCGTCTTGCTCAGTAATGTCTATTTTGGGGCCAACGCTGGGGAACCTCAGACCCAGAAGCCAAATGTGGCTCTCCAGGTCTCTTCAAGTGCCCCTCAGGCCTCTCTAGGCCACATCTCATCCTTAGGCAATACCTGAGACCATGCCCTCTTGCTTGAATGTGACAATACCTCTTGTTTGCCTGGTTGTAGAGCTGTGTATACTCAGTAAACTCAGGCTTTCACAGGGCTGGAATCTAGCTACAGTCTTACCTTGGAAGTCAGATGGAATCGGTTCCAGAAGTCCATTCGACTTCCAAAACATTCGGAAACCAAAGTGCGGCTTCTGATTGGCTGCAGGAAGCTCCTGCAGCTAATCGGAAGCCACGGAAGCCGCGCCGGACGTTCAGCTTCTGAAAATTGTTCGGAAACTGGAACACTCATTTCCGGTTTTTGATTGTTTGGGAGCCAAAACGTACGAGTTCCAAGGCATTTGGGAACCAAGGTACAACTGTACTGTACAATGCTAAAGGTTGCATCTGTTCCTCCACCCATTTTCTCCTTGGCTCTGTCCACCAGTGGCAAGTGACGCCCAGAATAATAATGGTAACAGTAATTTTATTATTTGTACCCTGCCCATCTGATTGGGTTGCCCCAGCCACCCTGGGCAGCTTCCAACAAATATAAAAGCATAATAAAACAATAAACATTAAAAACTTCCCTAAACAGGGCTGCCTTCAGATGTCTTCTAAAAGTCAGATAGTTGTTTATCTGTTTGACATCTGATGGGAGGGCATTCCACAGGGCGGGTGCCACCACTGAGAAGGCCCTCTGCCTGGTTCCCTGTAACCTCACTTCTTGCAGTGAGGGAACTGTCAGAAGGCCCTCGGAGCTGGACCTCAGTGTCCGGGCAGAACGATGGGGTGGAGATGCTCCTTCAGGTATACTGGGCCGAGGCCGTTTAGGGCTTCAAAGGTCAGCACCAACATTTTGAATTGTGCTCGGAAACATACTGGGAGCCAATGTAGGTCTTTCAGGACCGGTCTTATGTGGCCTCGGCGGCCGCTCCCAGCCACCAGTCTAGCTGCCACATTCTGGATTAGTTATGGTTTCTGAGTCACCTTCAAAGGTAGCCCCACATAGAGCGCAGTGCTCCCTGTGAGGGAATATGGTCTGAGAATGATTCCCCAATCCTGGAGTTCAGACAGGTTCTTTTCTAGCTGGGGATTGAACCTTGTGCCTTCTACATGCAAAGCAGGTGTCCAACCATTGAGTCACAGTCCTTTCTGAGTAGTGTTGGATAAACACCCCAAACAGGAGACTCGTCCTCATGAAACACGCCCAGTATTTTGGTGCAAATATTTCCTGCTACACACTTTTTTTGCAAAGCAGTTCTCCCAAATACAATGCATTCTTGTATGTTATTTCCAGGAATAACACTTGACCCTAGTTTATGCATTTTTGTACTTATTAGTTGAGAACGTCATTTGAAAATTCGGAGGAGTGTGGATTTTGAAGGATGGCTGTGTCTCAGTTTGGGTCTTGTTTCAGAAAGTGAAAATTAGGCAGGTTTTCCCTTTAAATGCAAACTGAACTGGATGTATCTATCTTCCTTTGTGACATACTCAGCGCTGTTGTCTAAATACCACTGCCTGAGGTTGCTGCCTCACTCTGCATAATGCCAATTCGGAGCCCAAGAGGGTGCAAGGAAGGAGCGAGACTCGGAAATCAACAAACACGGAAGTTGCCAGCTCTTCTTGGAAAACAGGAACTGAGCATCTCTTCAACACAAACAAAAAGCTGGCAAATGAATGGAGAGAGTCAGTACTTCTGCAGCCCCAGCCTAGGCGTTAAAGCCCAATTTTACCACCTACAGAGCCCTCCTCATCAAGCCAACATTTTCTCCTGACACCAGGAAGCCTTGTGGATGAATTTTGCCTGCTTACCCAACATCCTCAAAGTGGATCCGAGTGATAGTCCAGGCAGAGATAAACAAGCCGGGTGCACCTGCCAAGTGAGGATCAGATTTTGATTAGATTTCAAAGTTCTGCTTTCAGTCTGAAAGTTGCATTTGTATTACATTATTCTTTCTTTCTTTCTTTCTTTCTTTCTTTCTTTCTTTCTTTCTTTCTTTCTTTCTTTCTTTCCTTCCTTCCTTCCTTCCTTCCTTCCTTCCTTCCTTCCTTCATCCTTCCTTCCTTCTTTCCCTCCTGCCCTTCACCCTAAAGCCCCAGGGTACATTACTACATTTAAAACAACATTAAAAACAATTAAAAACCACTTGGAATATTACAATTTCAATTTGTTTCATTTTTTAGAACTGTTGTTTGATTTCAGCCCTGGATATTCTTGTTCTGGTGTCTTCTTAAATGGTGCTGTATTGCATACATACAAGAAAAAGAAGGAATAAAATAAAAAAGGGATGATGGGAGTTGTAGTCTGGCAACATTGGGGGGTCAGGACAGACGGACTACAGGTCCCTCACCCTCTGCTACGGACTATTTCTGTTCTTGCAAAAACACAGCAACATTTTTCTATATCAGAAAAAAGGCACGCCGACCAAAGAGGTTGCCTACCCCAGCCGATCAGGATGTACCACCAGAAATACTTTTTCTCTGAGAAGAAGGAGATGACCAGAAGCGTGTGAAGGTACAAGCCTTCAACTAGGAGCCAGAAGAAGTTGGCCATGATGCAATACTGGAAGAAGACCATCGCAGCCTTGCAGCCAACCTGAAATGGAAAGATGAGAAAGAGAAATTTAACGGGTCGACTGCTTCTGCTTTGTAAGCAAACCTAGGTTAGGGATGTTGAAGCACATAATGAGTCTCTTTCAACATAACCTGACATGCATGGGCTTTTTTTTGTAGCCCCCCGACATCATGTACCATGCACAAACCCCTTTGTACTTCTGTTGTCCCTTCACAGAATCAAAGAATTGTAGAGGTGGAAGGGACCCTGAGGGTCATCTAGTCCAACCCCTTGCAATGCAGGATTCTCTCTTTTTTCCCCAGATGATCTTTATTGAATTTTTAGTTACATACTGTACACACACATACATTATATTTCACATTTCTTCTTGCTCTCCCGAGCTGACTTCCCTCCTTCCTTCTTTTGGCTTTTTTGTGTCCTCTTTGACTTTTCGCATTGTCTTTGTCCATTTTCAATAAGATTGTTCTTCTTCATTTTTTCCATTAAATGTCTGTAAACAAATAAATCTTTCTATATATCCAAATTATTGTTGTCTGTCTATATTCATTTACAAATATTGTTCAATAGTAGTCCTAATATACATTTTTAATTCATTTTGATATTATTATCTAGTAAACTTCTTGTATTTTCCCGTTATGAGATATCATTTTAATTCTACTGGTTTCCCTATTTCACATCATCTTCTCTCTATATAACATAAATTTTCCCCATTCTTTTTTATATGTTTCATCCCCCTGATGTCGATTTTTTGCTGTTAATTTGGCTACTTCTGCGTACTCCATAACCTTCTACTGCCATTCTTCTATTGTAGGCAATTTTTGCTGTTTCCATGCCTGAGCCAGCAATAACCTTGCCGCCGTTGTTGTGTATAAGAATAGTTTCTGGTCATTCTTGTCAATGTCTTCTCCCACCATTCCCAAAGGAATGACTCTGGTTTTTCCTTTCCTTTCCTTTCCTTTTTTTGGCCATTTCCTTTTTTATAATATTTTTTATTCATTTTAACATATAAATTATAAAATGTACCACAAAACTTATCACTTATACAATCTTTTTAGATTTCCTTCAGCACCTCTGATGATCCACCGTTTTAACCACTTCTTATGCATTTCTTAACTTTATATTGCCTTTACATCTCTTAACAAATCATCCTCCCCCTTGTCCGTTTTTACAATACCTCTAATAATACTCCTCCCAAAACTTCTTGCAACCCTACAAACGTCGTCTGTTCTTCACAATTACTTTTCAAATAGTCCGTAAATTTACTCCAGTCTTCCGTGAATTTCTGGTCTCGCCGGTTTCAAATCCTTCCTGTTAGTTTATCTAATTCTGCATAGTCCATTAACTTCATCCTCCATTCTTCAAT